CCACTACCACTACCACTACCACTACCACTATTTTATCTTTGCGCTTGTGTACTGAAAATGATCGCTTAAGGGTTGTTATAGAACCAGATTAGATGTGCAATGCTGTAATAAGGGGTCGTTGAAATCTTCCGGTAAACCAATGAGCTTAAAGAAGTTTCATTGGTTTATCGTATGTTGCACACACTGCAATTTATGAACCCAGTAGATTTTAATTGATCCCAGATGGTAGGGAAAAGGGATGACACTTAAATGCTAATCGCATCCTCTTTTTTAGGATGACTCGAAGCCTGGGGTTAAAGATGGACAGTGTGAATGCAAAAACTACACACAAGGCCGGCAATGCGATGAATGTAAGCCAGGCTACTTTGATTTGAAGAATAGCCATTTAACAGGTTGTGTTTCATGTCAGTGCAACACAGCTGGTACTGTTAGTGGTAATATATCATGTCACGCAACTACCGGTCAGTGTCATTGCAAGAGTAACGTCACAGGAGTTAAGTGTGACACCTGTCGATCTGGTTTCTTTGGACTGAGTTCTTTGGAACCTACGGGATGTAAAGCTTGTGGTTGCGACCCATTCGGCTCTTTAAACACCCTTTGTGATACGACCACTGGCCAGTGTAACTGTAAGGCAGGCTCAACGGGGCGTCGCTGTGATCATTGTGCAGATGGTTATCACAGTCTAGGAAGAGATGGTTGTAAATCGTGCAACTGTTCCTCAGCAGGAACACAACCCAATTTGCTAAGAACTTGTCAAAAATCCGATGGGCAGTGTTACTGTAAAAGGTACGTCGAGGGAAAGAAATGTGATATTTGCCGAGAGGGATATTTTAACCTCTCCTCTAATCTTGATGACGGTTGCACACCCTGTACTTGTGACCCAAAGGGAACAGTCGGTATGTCACGTCAGTGTGAATTACTGTCAGGGAACTGTACATGTAAACGTTATGTGATCGGCAAGAACTGTAACCAGTGTCAGCCTGGGTATTTCAACATCAGTCTTAGTAATCCTGTTGGTTGCCAACCCTGCAACTGCKTCCCCAATGGAACTAAAGAACYGCAATCTAATGGTAAGTGAAATCGTTAGCTGCATATATACAAATACCTGTATATAGATAGGTATATACAATTCTAGTTTTCATAATACTCTTATGAAGCAATCGAAAGTAGTTAATGACCAGAAAGACTTATAATATATCAACAATGACCTGATGGACAAGGTAACTTGCAATCGAGGAATGGCGTTTTTTTAAATATACAGTATGTATCCTATCTAGTACAGATATTGTAATAGATCTCTGAGCATGAGTCTTGTCTGTATATTATCTTGAAGGTATCCTTGAATGTACCAATAATGGACAATGTGACTGTCTCAGCAATGTTCTTGGAAAACAATGTGATGCCTGTGCTTCTGAGTACTACTGGAATCCATCTGGTAAAGGATGTGTTCTGTGTAACTGCGATGCTCGGGGATCGATTGGCACGAACTGTAACGTGTCAGGACAATGTCAGTGTCAGCCTAACATCGGAGGACTAAGATGCGACAGGTGCTTACCAGGAAATTACGGGTTTTCAAGGTAAAATAATACTCATTCTACTTGTTTTAATTTCTTTGAGAAATCACTCATCTACGGGTTTAGAAAAATCAAGGCTGTTGCTGCTAAACAATCGATAACTGGTTTACATTGTTTGGAGCAGTTCATAAGCTTGTTTTTTTTAATGTATTTGTCTATTGAACATTAATAGAGACTGTTGGTTGTACGGCAGGAAAACATGTATTGACACTGAGGAATGTGATTTAGCTAGATTTAGATGTACTTTATATTGGGGTCTCTGAGATTTGCTTTGACAGTAGACATGTTTGACCATTTGTTGGAACAGGAAATTTTTGAGGAGTCTCACATAGGCTGAAATAGAAATCTGAGAAATACCAGGGAAAATCAAATCAAATAATAATATAATAAAACCTTATTTTGTAATAGTTGATTTTAATATTGATTGGTGATCATTTTTGTCGTCAGTGGTAGATGTCAGCCATGTGGTTGTAATGCATCTGGAAGCATGGATAATACTTGTGACGATACTGGCAAGTGCACTAGCTGTAAGAAGAACGTAGAGGGAAATAAGTGTGACACTTGCAAAAGTGGAACGATCAATCTTCAAGCAAACAATGATTACGGATGCAGTGGAGGTGAATAATGTCTTTGATTTTTTATTTGCACGTTCAGACCATAGACAGGATTTTGCATTTTTGGTGCGTGTGTGTCTAATTGGAGGTGTTTCAGCCAATGACAACCTAAACATATCATCTCAAGGTCTCCCTCCCCATACCAAAGCAAATTCCCATCACTGACATCTTAGGAGCCATCCTTCCTGTTTATACTTTCTTTCAATCAATCGACCAAAATTTGCAACATTATATACACTTGCAAAAAAGTTGTCATACGATATTAGAACATTAGTAATTAGGAATAAATTAAAAGACAAAAGAAAAAGTTCAGCTTCAGTGATCTTCTTTTGTTTTTTAATATAATTCCTATCCCACTAAATCACTAATGTTCCATTTTCGTATGACAACGTTCTTGCAAGTAGGTGTATACTAAACTACGATAATAGAGAAAATTGGTACAAGCCAGCTGTAATAGCCATAGGCTAAACGAGACAAACGTTCTTTTCTAAACGTCCATTTTTTTGTTGGTTTACATCATTTTTCTCCTTTCTGCTTTTCCCATTTCCTTCCCTGCTTTTATTAATTCTTTCATATTATCCAGTCATCAATTTATATGCACCTTCATTCTTTGCTAGTAAATTTTCTTAAAATCCTATCAATCCTTTGATCTCACTAAGACACACAAGGTATTTAATCCTCATTATTTTTTAACAACTCGCATTGCATTTATATAGTTCCTTCCCAGCAAGCTCCGCCTTTTGTCAACATCCTTTCATCCAGAGCTCTTCAAATAACCTGGAACAAACCGGACAATCCAAATGGTCCTATCATTCGCTATGATCTTTACCGTAATGGATCAGTGATTTACAATGGAACGGCCAGGGCATTTAACGATACTGGGCTAACGCCCAACACATATTATTACTATTATATCATGACTTACACTGAAGCGGGAAGTACACGTAGTTACCAAGACAATCGTGTTTACCGAACACCTGAAGATGCTCCAGAAGGTATTGCAGCACCACTAATGTCTAATGTCAAGGCCCGTAGTGCTCAAGCAACATGGCAGAAGCCTAACATTACTAATGGAGTCATTACACAGTACAGATTGGTCTCTGTTAACAGCTATAGTTCATCTGAAGTTGTACATTGCCAAGGTCCATTCCTCTTAAGATGTGACGCTTCAAATTTAAAGCCATTCACTGTGTACAATTTCACTGCTGTTGTTTGCAATCAGGGTGGTTGCGGTCGCAGTCTTCCAACCCAAGTCACAACTCGCGAATCAGCTCCAGATTTCCAGCCAATGCCCAACATTACTCTAATTCCTGGCGGCCGTTCAGTTTACGCGACCTGGGATGAGCCACCTGTTCCAAATGGCAAGGTATTTCGCTATGAGCTATACATGCGTGCTTCTCCCTTCAGTGGAGGTGGTCAAGCAATCCTGCCTAACAGCCATGTTGATGTGCGAAATACTACAGTAACAAATCTCGTGCCTTATACCTTATATGAATTTCGAGTTGTTGCATATACGGCTGAGGTAAATGGGGATACATCAAGTGAATGGAAGCGAATACGAACAGCTGAAGGAGGTAGGTTTAAAACTGTGTATTCATAATTTCATTGTGTTTCTAAGAATAAAGAAGACGATGACACTTTATTTAGGCAAGAACATCAATACTGGCTACCCTGTACTTTACTTGGTGGCTCCAGAATACTGGCTACCCTGTACTTTACTTGGTGGCTCCAGAATACTAGCTACCCTGTACTTTACTTGGTGGCTCCAGAATACAAATCCTAATTGATTTCGCAAACAAGACAAAAAAATAAAATGCATTTTTCTTGGACGTAATGTTTTCCCATTTCAGACCACGTCTCATTCCCTTGAGAATAAGATTCTTTCTTTTAGTTGTATCCATGTTCTATGTGTATTCTCATAGGGATTGACACGTGGTATGGACAATGGGAAAATATTACGCCCTAGGTAAAGAGGTCCATTGGACGATTTGCTATGTGTATATGTTGCAGTTCAGTTCATTATGTGTATGGGATTATAACGCACGTTTTTTAATTAAAAACTGATTTTCTATTGTTGGGTTTAGAAAAAGGTGCTTCTATCGTATATGATGTTTTTGCCTCATATACGATAGAAGTCAATATCTCAGGCTCTCAAGATGAGGTCATGTGCCCCGATGGAGAAACACGTACCTTTTGAAGTAACTTAATCGCCTTGATAGATTAATGGATAGATTATTTCATTGGGATTTCTAACGTCTAGCGTTTTGGAATATTTTAAAACTGATTCAAAGTGTTTAGGTGAAATATTTTGTGTGAGGAGCTTTTTCAACTTATAAGTGGCTTCTAAGGTTATTCTTGGGTCCATGAATGAGTCACGCATGCTCATGTATTTTGGTATTTATTGACTATAGGTAACTTAAAGAAAAATTATCTAAGACTAAGGTTGAATGTAATTTTCTTGTTTCAAATAGGACGTTTGCATGATGGCGTCATTTGACTCCCACTACCATGATGCTTCGCGAATTTTCTTTCTTATTGAAATTTGTATTTCCCTATGAGAATAGTAAGACAATTGGTGCTAATTAACTGAATAAAAGAAAGTGTGCAAGGGAGTCTGGTAGTAGAGGTCAGTGACGCCATCATGCAAACGTCCTATTTAAGAAAATTTAGATCCAAGCTGCCTCTACAAACTTTTGAAAATGTAATATATTATTAAATTCCAACTTGCAAAGAATTCGCGGGTACCAGAAGAGACAACAATGACCTATGGAAGAGTCGATATAAGTAAGGAAATACCAGCCGTTCCAAACTAAGTTTGGCTTGTTGGTCTAGTGGTATGATTCTCGCTTAGGGTGCGAGAGGTCCCGGGTTCAATTCCCGGACAAGCCCTGTTTTTGCTGTGGGAGTATAGGAGAAAAACTGTCTTTTACAATGTTTTATTACTTTTCATCAAAAATTGAGTACTGTTTACTTCATTTTGACATGTCGAAGTAACCTTGTCTAGTGATCTAACTAGTAATAAATTTCTATATATATATTTTTTTTAATTTAAATTTTTCCTATTTTAGTTCCAGGCGGGGAATCAGAAATTCAGCCCCAGTCCAGCGCAGTCGCTAGTGATGCTATCGAGGTCAAGTGGAAGCCACCTAGTTTGCCTTACGGGATTATCGTCCGTTATCGAATAACAGCTTACCAACAGTCGTCCGTGATTGTAAGGGAGGAAGCGAATGGAAAAAATCGATCATCTGTTGTGAGCGGCCTTTCTCCTTACACGACCTACAGATTCACTGTGATTGCATGCAATAGTTATCGATGTACGGGAAAGAGTTCATCTACCTCTGCTAGAACATTACCATCAGGTATTCAATGAATATCATTAAGTAAAAAATATGTTAACGTCTTATGTATCATACGTCAGCCACATAAATGCGTATAAGAAGTCTCTGAATTTCCATGATTGCTTTTGTTCAAAAATGAATTTGCATAATTTCTTCGGCTCAAACCTGCAAAGTTCGAACGCTGATCCAGTGCATTTATAATATTTTAGCACTATCTTGCCATACTCCTTCTTCTTATCTGTCGTGCTCTCATTGGGTTTCTTTATTGCCACCCTCCCTCCTTTGCGCTGTTTTTTTTTGTTTTTTTGTTGTTGGGAGATTTCCGTAAGAGCCCCGCCACTCCAATCTATCTTATTCGTTGTTGTGCAATGTTTTTTACATTGCAGACCACTTGTCATTTCCGAGAGAATATGATTCTTTGTTTGAATTGTACCAATATTCATGTGTTTTCTAAGTCTTCTCATACACAACCGTTAAACATAGAAACCACGGGATGCTCTTTGGAATGACACGTGGTCTGTAATGGGAAAACATTGCACCACGATGATCAAGGTCTATTCTTAAGCAGGAGTACAGTGGGATCGCCGTAAATAGCCCATGATATAGATGATTTGGTTATAAATGTGTTATGAGTCTTTTCAATATCATGTTCGTATTTCTTTGAATAATGAATGCAAGTGTATTTTCTATTTTAGCTCCCAGAGGACAAGGTGCTCCAAACATAACCAAAGCGAGCTCTTCCTCCATTTCACTAACCTGGGCACAACCACAGATTCCGAACGGACCTCTGCCACCATCATACAACGTCACTCGTTCATCAGCTGCTTTTAACCAGCCACCGCAAGTGGTTACTGCTGGTGTCCACTTTCCAGGGCTTGGCTTCTATAAGTTTCCAGCAAATTTTGTACCACCTGGAGCTGTCAACACTATTGAGCTTTCTTTCCGCACTAAGTATCCTGATGGATTATTGCTCTTCTTGGCGACAGACAACTTACAAGAGGATTTCCTTGCGATTGAGTTACGTGAAGGGAAGCCTTGGTTTATCTTTGATTGTCAAGATGGGCCTGCTGCATTCACAATCCGCGATTCCGTCCGTTTTGACGATAACAGATGGCATCATTTAGGAGCAGACCGAAGAGATATTACTGGGACCTTAACAATTGACGATGGTTATAGTAACCGTGGTTCTAGTACCCCTGGCTCGACAACTATTGGCGAAAACACTGGAGTTTACATTGGTGGACTGCCATCAGACTTTGTTATTAAAAGAGACGATACAGGAAATGCGGTCATAAGACGCCATGGATTCATTGGTTGTTTAAGGGAAGTCAAATCAAATTCTAAACTATTTGATTGGACGGCAGCATTGGAAAAGAAAGGAGTTGATCCAGAATTAAATTCTTGTCCAGTTATTGGGATTGATAAAGGGGCTTTGTTACGTGGTGGTGGTTTTATCGCTATAAAATCAGGTATCTTTACTGGTGGAGTGGTTTTTGTTTTAGAACTTTCATTTCGTACCCAGTTTAGGTCTGGAATATTAGTGTTTGCCTATGGACCGTCTTCACATGTTGCCTTACACTTAGTTGATGGAAAAGTCAACGTTAAACTACGTGGAACTAATAACCAGACAAGTGTTCGGGCGAGTGAAAAAGAGGTCTGCGATGGCAAATGGCATCATATAAGCATCGCAGCACTTAATGGGTTTAATTTTGTTATTTCTGTTGACGGGAATAACAACATAATAGATCCAATCACCTATATTACAATCAACTCCGATCTTTACATCGGTGGAGTCCCTGTGGAAGAGGAAGAAGTGGTTGTGAGAGTAAAGAATGCTGGGATCGATAACTACGACGCGTTTGGTGGGTGTATAAAGGAGGTGAAGGCGGCAAAAGCCATTTATCTAAATAAAAATGTAACAAGGATGAGGAATGCTGACCTCGATGGTTGTGTGTCAGATTCTCAAGTGAATGCTACTCTTTCCGGGGGAGGTTTGTGTCAAGTTACTAGCAGTACTGATTTGGTTACTCAGACAACGACGCTATTTACTGATTCAACTGTCGAGCCTTTTACAGGTAATTTAGTTGCATTCTTACGTGAAGTTGTGTTTTGTCTATTTACTTCTTGTTGCTTATAACTTTCCGTGCTTTAGTATCCAATATTTACTTTGAATGCTTGGATCTCTTTGCAGACTATTTATATCGCGTTGAGAGCTTCCATAAAGGTACAACTGGCTCTGCTAAAAGTGTTCAGGTTTGGACTCGCAGTGGTCAAGGAGGTAAGCTACGTATAAGTCTACCTTGTCTTGCTTTTGACTGCGCATGCATTCAGATTGTTTTAACACGCAATAACCTCATCACTAGTATTTGAGCTTAGCGTTAGGTGCTTGTTCGGTGATGGGATGAGAGGGACCGGGCAAATAAAGTCGCGGTAACCATGGCAGCCCTGATAACTCACCGTGCACCGGTCGCACTGACGGTCTGTTCAGTGGAATACTTACCTATATATACCTACCATAGGGAGGGAGCTCGGGAGAATCCAAAAATAGCGTTTAGCGTGTGGTTGCCAGAGGCTAGCGATTACGAATATCGTAATGCATACGATTGTTGGCCGAAGGTCATTTTTGCGTGATCAGCAGGCCTACGACAAATGGAAAATAGCGGCTAATGTAGACTACTCGCTGCTACTCAGATCGAGTTTAACTTTACGTCAATTTCATTTAACCACATAAATCTCTGTTTTCAGCACCCTCGGGTATAAATCCTCCTACAACTGTCCTCCCTCTCGATGATGGTCGCTCAGCACGTGTTACATGGAGTCGTCCAGGCTGGCCGAATGGCCTAATCATTCACTATCATATAATAGCACAGAATCTGCTTGATGGAACAGAGGTAGTTACAAAAGTCACCGATGCCGAAAATCTAAATTCAACAATAATTGGCTTGACACCATACACAGATTATGGCATCAAAATAGCAGCATTTACTATGGGTGGGAATGCCACTGGACCAGCTGTCAATACCACCACCAAACAAGCAGGTTAGCAATACAAATGAATTTTTAACTGATTAAAGTAACCACTCCAATATCAAGCTTTTGTATGGCTTGATAAGCTATCTTCGGTGGTTCCTGACCTATTGATATTTCTTATTCTCTTAAACAGCTCCAGAGGGTGTTCCTGTACCAACGAATGTTTCATACCCAAGGACTCTGGCCCTTAGCTGGTCACCTCCGTCAAGTCCTAATGGAATTATAACCAGATACAACCTTACGATTGATGGTACATTAGTGTATAGTGGTACTGACCGGCAGTTCAATATAACGGGTCTAAAAGTCTATACACGCTACACTTTGCAAATTACCGCGTGCACCAAAATAGGGTGCACCTCTGGACTGGAACATCATGTTTATACAGGCGAGTTACCACCGTCCGGACTTTCACTCCCTACATTATACGTTGAAGGAAACGATTCCATACGTGTCCAGTGGAACGAGCCTACAGAACCCAATGGTGTAATTCAAAGATATGAAATTCACATATCGACTACTGAAGAGCTTGGTCCTAACTACAGACAAGTATATAATGGTCCAAGAAGCAATTTAAGTGCTGTTATCAAAAACTTGGTAACAGGAACTTTGTACTACATACGGGTGAAGGCTTTCACCGGAGGCGGGGGAACCTTTAGTAATGCAAGTTCTGCCCGTACAATATCGGGTATTCCTAGTGATATTCCCGCTCCCCGAGTCACTGCACTGGATCCTTATTCATTGCATGTAGAGATCTTACCGCCAAGGCAACCCAACGGTATTATTACACGCTACGAACTTTACCAAGATGAAAGTCCAACACCAGTGATTAACGGGACACTTACCAATTACACAGCATCAGGATTTACAGTTTATAGTCTGCACACATTTTGGGTAAGGGCTTGCACAATCAAGGGATGCAATCGAGGGATGGCAGCAAAGGCATATACGGGTGAACTGCCACCGAATGGTACAATTCAACTCAGTGCATCAGTTGTTAGTGCAACTGAGGTAAAAGCCAAGTGGACCGCAGTAGCTCAACCGAATGGAAACCTGTCTTATCACCTCATGATCAATGGAACTTTCCTTGTTCCTGGGTCTACTACATTTGAAACGGAAGTAAGGATTGAGAATCATCGAGGCCAACCAGAAAAAGATATAGCGTACAAAGGACTTTTAGCAGACAGCAACTATGTCTTCTGGGTCAATGCTTCAAATAGCGCCGGGTATATTTTGAGTAACAAGATCAGTGATAAAACTCCCGAGTCTGGTAAGTTTCTCTTATGTATGAACCTTATTTTCGGCTCTTGTTTTTGACTTTCTTTGCTATTTCGCTGCAGTTCCTCTAGGCGTATTGGCGCCAATCGTTACTGTGCTAAGCTCATCAGCAGTAAACGTTACATGGCAAGAGCCTTATCTTCCTAACGGTGTGTTACTTGGATACAAACTGTACCAAAAAACAGCAAGCGACGGCAACGAAACTATCTTATACAGCGGTAACATGTTTAATAGTCTCGTTACGGGACTAGAGCCCTACACGATATATTATTATCGCATTAGTGCACGAACCGTAGAGGGGGATGGCTTTGGAAACTGGACATCCATTACAACTCTTGAAGCTGGTTAGTACTCGTCTATATATATTTTTGATTACAATTAACTAATTACAATTATTTACAATTAACTAACACTCATCATGGTAAGTAACAAACATTTTTATATTCCTAACAGTTCCAGGTCCTTTAGATGCCCCTCGGGTCAATCCCGATTCAAAAGCAATGATTCTTGAGTGGGATTTGCCGTCCAAGCCCAATGGTATTATTCAGCTGTATTCCATCTACATGAACGGTTCTTTTCTATTGAATGTAACGGGTAACACAACCAGATACCGTGTGACAGGCTTGGCTCCCTTCACTTGGTACGTCTTTGCGGTCAGTGCTTGTAATAGTGCTGGATGCAAAAGAAGCTCTTACTCTTCGCCATCAAGGACCTTGGAATCTGGTGAGCAGTTCTCATTTTTCTGATTGTCCGGTCGTATTGATTATTATTTTTGCTCATACTGTAGTTTACTGTTAGCATTCATTCGGAAGGAGTTTTTTTTCTGATTTAGATCATTGCTATTTAATTGAAACTTCTATCATATTCTATTTCAGTTCCATCTGGTCTTGAAAAACCAAGTCTTAGAGCCCTGTCACCAAGATCTGTTGAGATCCGATGGAGTGTGCCAAATGTCACAAATGGCATTATAAGATACTACTCCATCGACCGCCGAAGAGCGGGTGAAGAAACGCCCATCAATATTACGAATGTTCTTGCTTCCAGTCATCGGGTGTATGTTGACTACACCGCCCCGCCGTTTACGTCACTCGAGTATAGAGTCGTTGCTTATACTGGTCAAGGGGGTACACCGAGCCCTTACAGTAACATCAGCACCGGAGAAGGAGGTAATTACTTTTGCTTTACAAGTTTCAATACTGTCGAAACTGCTCTGAAAGAGAGAGACAGGGTTCCCAATCATAGCTGTCTTACAAGATTGATCCTTGTACGGTAAATTAAGTATTAACAGTTTAATCTTTCTTTAGATCCCGAAAACATCGGAGCACCAATCGTTAATGCTGTGAGTGCTTTTGCATTGAATGCGAGTTGGTCTTTACCAGGCACTCCTAATGGTTACGTCATTAACTACATCGTGCGTGTCCTGGACACCTATGCTAATTATTCAATGGGCAGCTCAAATATATTCCAGTACACCATAACTGGACTTAAACCTTATACCTTGTACAGGTAAATATCGATTTTTTAATGGTTGTTTAGTTGCTCTGCTACTCCGCTGTCTCTCATCACTGTGTAGTTCAAGCTTGGGGGCATGCTAAACATGTGAGCTGGGTGTCAGTGATAGTTGTGCTGTGTCCCCTATTTTGTTTCTCACTCTGGATACTACTGTTTTTTTCCTTTCGTAAAAACGAAAGGTGATGATGACGACGCTGGTAATGTTCATGGATGGTGATGATGAAGATGGTGGAGGTGATGGTAATGTTCATGGATAGTGATGATGAAGATGGTGGAGGTGATGGTAATGTTCATGGAGGTTGATGTTCATAGATGGTGATGATGAAGATGGTGGAGGTGATGGTGATGTTC